AATGTTCGCGTTCGTGCTGATGCATATTTCTCACATCACCTGGACGATTTAGGTAGATGCCTCGGAGCTGGTCGGCGCGAAGTCACGAACGCGCCTTAACAGTGAGACCGAATAACGTATGCGCTCGTGACAAGATTCTCTCGCGAAGATAACGAAGAAAATTTGTCGCCCGGCCCGCCAGCCTCGGTATTCTGGTCAGGGACACCCTGTATAACAGGCGGCGATAACGAGACGAGTTTCCGTGCGCTGCCGCACGACCATCGATCGGTACTTTGCAAATCGCGTCGTCCTCCGCGAGGTCGCGATGACGATCCATTCGGCTATCGAGAGGTTTCGTTTGGAGGGAACCTCTGGGCCGCCTCCATTAATATACAAATCCGACCCTTGACCCTCGAGCGGACTGAAAGGATGACTTTCATCATTCTCAGACCTCCATTTCCGAATGTCACATCGTCCTATAGCACCGCGTAACGAGGATGACTCTATCATTCATCCTAAGAGATATTATGCAAAAGAAAAGTTTGGTTGGTAGAAATCAATCGACTTCAGCTGAAATATGAGCGACCCAGAAATGATCAGAATTCAATCCAAGTGATCAAGATTCCTAAACCTGAACGGAATTCCGATAAGTTCAACCGGACTTTCTGGATCGCTCATATGTTTCACCAGAAACTGGTCCAACCAAACTTTCTTTTCCGCGACACAGTAGATATTTCCATTAGATATTTATACGAGATACAATTTAACGAGAGAACGAGATGCAAAAAGGGGTCTGATCCGATCCTAGCCGTGGTGTCGAGACGCGTTTCGTACTTGTCATCGAATTGAAACGCGCTAGACTATCGAGTGAGTTGCGCGTTGCGTCATTGGCAATACCGATCTTCGAGGAAAGTGCGAAGTGAAGCGGCGAATATCGCAGCAATTAGCCACGCTTTCACCTCGGCTACGATCCGGCCGGACGCGGAGATTCGCGGTCTTATTTCGGCGACTCCACCGCGGAGCCTTCGCGGAAGTAGAGGAGCCAGTAAGCTAGCTGGCTGGCTGGCTGACTGGCTCTGTCTTGGCGTCGTATGTTGCGAATTTTGGAAGGCCGCCAATCTCGTGCCGGATGTAGACGAGGCTCAGCCGAAAGGCAGGAGTCTGGTCGCTCTCAGAGAGCAACGTCCTGTCTGCGTTTCGCGAGTATGGGTAGAAAGATATCGCAAGAAGTCCGGCGGAAGACGCGGCGAAAGTGGTGGTGGACCTCCTCGCAGGATCCGGTATCGGATCTCTCCCGATGTCGCGATCGCGAGATTTTTGCCTGCCTGCCTGCTTACCTGTCTGCCTGCCTTCGCGTTCCAGCGCGAATAGCTCTCCCCTGGCTTGCGTTCTCACTCTCCGACGCGATAACTCGTCTTTTTTTTCGAGATTCAGTTGAGACTTTCCGTCTCCCTTCGAGGTAGAGTTAAAAATCGAACTCGGAAGACGACGGGATCACGTCGGGTGGCTCGCGTCAATCGATCGCACGTCAGCGGGACGAAGGCAATCGTCTTCGGCGAATCTGTTTCTCGAATTGCCGATGGCAACATCGAAGATATTTGTTTCGCACGGGTTCACGACACGCGGCCGCGACGTTTCACGGTCCGTCGAGTATCCTCGACCTCTCGTGGCCAGGCCAAAGCGCTCCCTTTCGATGATGAGGAATCGCCGCTCGTAATGGGACATGACGCGCCAGAAAGCCGTCGACGTCCAGCGCGCACGACTCGATAAGTACGATGGGATGTCCCTCGCGTGTCACAAGCGGTGTATCCGCCCTGTTACAGTACATTAGTGTCGCCGGGTATCGCGCTCGGGCTATCGCGAGGCTGCCTTGCAAATCGCGGATCATGAACACGACGAATTTTGCAGTACATAAACGCAACGCCACGCCAAGTTGCGTCTCGCCACGCTACGCTGCGCAACGCAACGCGGCTTCTTATCGCCACGCATGATCCAGCATAAGTAACATCTTATCGTGGGCAATGATCTGGCGTAAACTCGTTAGGTTCACAAGTGGAGGGTTAAAGACTCGCTTCCTCCGGTACTTACTTCTCCGCAACTTACAACTATGTAATTATTAGCAGTCGCGGCAATTGCCTGTATCTGTTTCGCGCCTGTCTTCGCCTTTCGATACAAACAATCTCATGATTCTCCTTCTCATAACCGTGGAAATTAGATTCCGCGAATCGATGGAAATGGCAATACGCTGGCGATCGCAAGTAAACTCCGTGACGAACTAGAAACTGACTCGGCGTACTCTCTGAATTTCACTCGAAAGCGACCACCGAGTTACTCGATTAACTTGTCGTTCGTATCGAGCGAATTCTCCACTCGTAATCGTCGAGCGAACATTCTCACTCGAAATTGAAAAGTGAATCCGATGTGCTTCACAGAAGCATATTCGCTCTAATCGACTGAAACATTCGCTCATGTGGAGTCAGAATCCACACCAAACTCGAATTTTGCGAGAGTGGTAATGTTTTCACTATCACTTCGAGTGATCATATCGCCATATTTCACTCGTTTTTGAGTGAGATTCCGAAATTTGGAGAATGAACGACGATCGCTATATTTCTTGTGTGTTCTTTTCGTCTTTGAACAAAAATAGTTTCATAATTTTCCTCTTCATAACCGTGGAATTGGGCATCGACTGATTGAAGCGGCAATATAGGAGATGACGATCATAAGTAAACACCGCGAGAAACTAGAAACCGACTCAACATAAACGACGAGCGCAATCACCGTTTCGCTCGCGTGTCTTTGCTTCTTTAAGTAAAAATAACTGTACGATTTTCCTCTTCATAATCGCGGAAATGGGCTCCGATTGATCGAAACGGCAATATGGTGGCGATCGCAGGCAAACACCGCGAGAAACTAGAAACCGATTTGACATAAACAGCGAGCGCAATCACCGTATCTCTCGCGTGTCTTCGCTTCTCTGAGTAAAAATAACTTCATGATTTTCCTCTTCATAACCGCGGCAATGGACATCAATTGATTGAAACGGCAATACGGTGGCGATCGCGAGTAAACACAGTGAGAAACTCGAAACTGACCCGACGTCAACGTCGAGTGCCTCTCGCGAGTGTCCTCGCCTTTGAATAAAAATAATAGTTCCACGACTCTCCTCTCTTCGTAACCGCGGAAAAAGGAGCATCATCAATCGATCGACTGAAGCAGCAATAAACGCTGGCGATCGCGAGTATAAATACCGTGAGAGCACACAAAAATACCTAGAAATTAGCAAATATTTATTAGATGGGTACCATTAACATATTTATTTAAATAAAAATTCTCTTCATTTAAATCGTGTATTGTTTACTCGAATTAAGTAAATAATACTGTATTCCAATGAAGAGAATTTTAAGTAAATATGTTTGATTTAAGTTAATGGTACCCATCTAATAAATGTTTGTTAAACATCTTGTTTCTCAATGCAACTAGAGTAACTGATCAGAAACGCCCGGTTTGCATCGAGCTGACGTCCTCGACGATCGTAAACACGCACGTTAATAGCCCCAGCGCCTCGCGTCCGACACGCCACATCGAATCCCGACTGTGTGTCGCACGTCGAGGCGTAATCGCGGATTTATAGACTCGGGACGGATACGCGCTGGGGTCTCGGATGATATACGGGAATATCCGGTACCTTGCGGTGGTCAAATGATGCGAATGTACGTGGGCCTCGGTGTGTACAGAGCACCGTGCGCGCGGCTCGAACGTTTGGATTTTGAGTTATTGCCGTCGGCGATCGATCGCATCGCGGCGCAGGTGCGACGTTCCGTGCCGCGTTGGTCGCAGCCGTTTTTGGTGCTCGCACTGCGCGAGAGCGGAGGCATCGCCTCTGCGAGCCGCCAAGATTTGTCGAGAGACCGGTGAGAGGAGAGGAGAGCGGAGAAGAGAGAAAGAGAGAGAGAGAAGAGTGGAGCCTGCAACGCACCGAACAATTGCGGTCGGACGGCGCGGGACGAACTCACTTGGCGGGATCGAAGCTCGGGAATTCCGCGGGAATGCATTGCCATATTCGTCCTACGGCGCGACCGAATGCGAGAGTGTCGTCCCTGAGCGGGGAACGGCGAGCGCGGGATGAGAATCGCGAGGCGCCACGCTCGTCGTCGCCGAAGATGAAATGTGGCAGGCGGGAGAGAGAGAGAGAGAGAGAGAGAGAGAGAGAGAGAGAGATGGAGGAAGGGAGAATGAATCGATCGTGATTTTAATTGCGGGAATGCGCCCGCACTTGCGCTCGCGCGTAAACAGGAATGCCGACTTCGTCGACATTGGCTTCTCCCGTTTTCGCAACGAGAGAAGTTCACCGTGCAAGTCGCCGTTACGACGCGTCTGATTTACGCGCGATGTAAAAGTGGCCGGAGCGAGCGAACGAGAGAGAGAGAGAGAGAGAGAGGGGGAGCAGGAAAAAAGGAAAGCGAGGTTCAGGACCCGGTCCAATTGAAAATCCCGGCTAACTATGGCCCTCGCGCCGCGCTCACGGGGCTTACGTAACGAGGATTTATCGTCGCTGACCGTACTTGACTCCAGTTACGCATAGAGCGCATTGTGCGCTGCTCACCCGCTGGAGGGAGAGGTAAATAGAAACCTCACTTCAATTGAACGTGTCTCGATTATCCCGATTGCGTTTATGCGGCCAAAGGTCGAGTTATGCGCATTACGAACGCGCGGAGAGAACAATAAAATATTCTATTCTCGTCGCGTCTCGCGGATCGTCGCGGACGAGCAACGAGACGCGAGCACACGAGCAATCTCCCCATCAGGAGGCTCCATTCTTTCCCCAGAACACCGCTCCCCGAAATACGCGTCGACCAAATACGACGACGACGACGGGACGCACACGCGCGATTTCGTGCGAACTCTCGTGCGAGATCGGAGGGTCGAGACGCGCCGTCATGAATCACAATTGAAGCGAACGACAACGACTGGGTCTTATACGGGCTTGCACGGGCCGGCAAACGGTAGCGACTTCTTACCTGTCCGGTATCCCGCGTTGCTCAAGTAAGCAGCGAAGGAGTGTGGCTCGTGATCTCGTTGCCACTGGGGACTGCTGCAGTTGTCGTTGTTCGTGAAGACCTCGTGATTGTGAACGTAACGACCGGTCAGCAAGGAGCTCCTACTTGGGCAACACATGGGAGTGGTCACGTATGCGTGTCTCAGCTCGGCGCCCTCGTCCCTTATTCGCCTCAGGGTCCGTGGCATGAAGTTCAGCGAACCTGAGGGATCAAGTCGACCACTTTGAGAACGCGGTCAAACATTTGTTCGGTCGGGCCGTGGGCTATTGTGCCATGTGGGTGCCTAATGCCGCGTTCGATTCGACATATCGCTTCGGCCGTGAGCATTCACGAGCGGCCACCAACTGCGCTCGTCGACGACGACGACGATTTCGCGATGTTTACCCCGCGGATTCCTCGATCGATTCGGCCGTCCAAGTCGCGCGAATATCAGGCGTCGAGCTCCTCGCGAAGTAATCTTAGAAGAGATATACGTAGAGAGAGAATATTATAATTTTCCTTTCATATAAATTCTTTTCAATTTCATCACGCAGGAATAGACTGTCGGCACTCTCCAAGTTTCATGGGATGGAATCTCACTCTCGAAACGAGTGGAAAGTGGCAGTATCTTCACAAGCAACAGTGAAGATACTGCCACGTGAAATTGCGAGAGTGAATGTTTCATTCCAGCTTAGAGTGAGTTCTGTCTATATTGGGCGAATATTTCAATCTGTTGAATATGTTCACTTCGATGAGTGAAAATATTCAGTCGTTGATTCAGAATGGAGAATTCGTTCTATGCGAGAGAAAAGTCGCTCGAGTGACTCGGTGCTTATTCTATTTTCTGAGCGAAATTTTACTCCAAGAAATTGGAGAGGAAGACCTACCTTGCTAAAGAACATGGTAAATTTCGCGAAGAATATAGCAGATTTTTTAGTAGCGCGTAAAGAGATAGTCAATTATTGCCGAATGTCCATCTATTCCTGCAAAATTCTACATTAATTTTTTCTATAAAATTCTCTCCGTGTAGGAAAAAATCTGAGGAAAATATTGCTCGTCGTGAAAAATATTCCGACTGATTTTCCTTTTTCATTCCTAATTCGCGGTTTATCCGTTCAGATATCGGACACCGAAGGAGGAAAGCGCGTCTAATCGCGAGCAGTCTCGCTACAAACGAATATATCAAATATCATTCAGTGACCTCGCGTATGGGATGATTAACGGGTGAATTACAGCGAAATGAGTACGCTCACACGCGACACGTTACGGATAGGATTGCGTATTGCGTTTCTCCTCGCGCGATATCTCGGCAACGCGCTCCTTCCTTCGCGAAGACTAAGACGAATATCGTGACGGTGAGATAAGGCGCCGGGGTGTTGCACGCAATAAACAAAGTGACTCTATGTTCTGCGTAGGCACATTCATACCGGTAATGCGGCGCGATAAATAATCCGACGCACTGTGTACAGTCGTTTGCTAAACGGTTCTTTTTCGCGCGTGAAGTTGGCGTCGCTTAAAATTCTATCGCTGTCACGACGGTTAAATCCGGGGTAATCTTTGCCGTATTGATACGTTGTCACATTATCTCGATAAAATTTACTTTCATTGCATTGTCATTTTGACAACTGTCGTAACCGATTATTACACAACCCTATCAGCGTAATCGTGACTATTCTGAGCGACGCCAACTTCACGTGCGAAAAGGTGTGCAAAACATTTCTGCCGTGCCGAGGAAAAATATGATTAAGTCATATTTTTAAGAAAAATGAGTTTTTTATAAATATATTTTTACTAATATATTCGTGACAAAGAATTACGTTTAACTGTACCGACAAAAACTAAAAATTATTATTATTTATTGAAATAAAAACGGGTTAACTCTACGTAAAAGTTTCGAATATGACAAAATAGTCAAAAAAGAAGCCGTAATTGACAAAAAAATTGTACAATGCGTGCAATACGTCACAAAAATATACTTGAAAAAGACCATAACATCTATTAATGCTTTCTTTTCTAGCAAAAGCATGGTCCTTGTTACAAAAGAAAAGCCTTTTGTAGTTACAGTTTTCTTATGTTGAAAACTATTAAGTCACTTTGCGACTTTTTTTTCTTGTATTTTCAAAAAGCAAGAATCTTAAGTGCATTTTCGAGTAGTAAATATTTAAAAAATTAATTTTTTATTGCAGAATAAAAAAGCGTATCCGATTTACCCAATACATACTTTTGTATTCATAGAGATTTACTTTTCCACTACGATTCTCTAAGCAAACAATTCTCGTCGATTTTATCAGTTTGAAGCCAAATGTAGTTAACCACTTTTTTCCGTAGCACGGCAGATTTAGCAAACGACTGCAATAGAAGATTGCATATAGCCACATGTTGTAATCAAGAATTATTAAAAGTTTTCGATCTAACGCGTTTCTAGATAGTCAATTATAGGATATCCGATTAAATTTAATCAGATACTTGTGATCATGATGGCATTTTATCAGATAAGCCGATCAAAAAATCATGAACCGATATTTCTCACCGGATTTCTGATCGGATACAAAAATTCGTCGGTATTTTGATCGAGAATATCCGTTTGTTAATTTTTTATCGGATAATTTCTTTCAGTGAACACACGCACGACATGAGAGATTGCGCCGGTGTCTACGTACCCAGCTCGACATCCTGATCGTCCGTCAGAATCAGCACGATGTTGGGCTTCCTCTCGCGCGGCTGCTGATACGGCAGATAGGGTGAGTTCGACTGATGATTGTAATTATTATTGCCGTTGCCGTTGTAACTCGACTTGTGGAGGGTGCCGCGACGCTGGCTGGCGTACGCGTCATCCGCAGGTCTGTCTCCGTCGGTCCGTCTGGCATTGACACCCAGCAGGAGGAGAGCCAGAAATTGAAATAGCTTGCTCATGGCGTTCGGCTGCTGCTGGTCGTCGCTTATGGGCTGGCTACCTCAATCGAGTGTCATACCATGGCTGTGAGCTGCAACAGCAAAACGAAACGCGCGTTAAAGGGACGCTGGATACCGACACAACGCAATTATATTTCGTAGTTTGCACTGTTTCTCCATTTGGCTGCGTGGAATTGCAGATGCTTTTACGCAGAGTGACAGCGCAAGTGTCGGTGGCATGGCGGGACGTCGAATATTACATTGAGAATAAAGAAGATTGTAAATAAAAAAGACTTTTCGATTTTGATACAATATTTGGAGTCTTTCCACGTGAAACAAACGTTTTTGAATTGACCAAATTTCTGGTGAAGTATGAACGAACCAGAAATTTCAGCCGAAGTTACCAGAATTCTGTTACCAAAAGTCTCGTTAACTTGGATAGAATTCCGGTAAGTCCGGCCGGAATTTCTGGTTCGTTCATGTTTCACTAGAAATTTGGTTGGTCCAGCCAAACTCTTTTTTCCATGTATGCATTGACACTTGTACTTTCGCTCTGTATAAAAGCAGTTGCAATTCCATACGACCAAATGGAAGAACAATGAAAACTACGATTATATCGGTAGCCAGCATCCTTTTGACGCACGCCGCAGCCCTGATCGATCAATCGACCGACCTCGTCGCGTCTGGTTGCGTCAGATGCGTCTCGTCTCGTTGAATCTTTCATTCTCACGTGCGCGCATGCACGCCATCGATAAGAATCCAGATCGAAACGAGCGAGATCTCGTTGCGTAAGCACAACGATGTCAAAAATATGTCCACGCATTGGCGTCTGCGCGTTCACATTCTCACACTGATACTCGATGTGTGTGAACGATAAAAGCGAGAAAAAGAGAGACGCATTCCTCCTCTATGACGAGATAAGAACATTCGACCGGCTGCTTTCGCGCGTGTGTTGCGCAATCGAATAGTTATTGGAAAATACGCGCGCGCGATGGATACCAATCGAGTCGTACTTTCCATTCATCCGGCGTGTCGATGCGGCGAAACCGCGCGTGGATACACCGCGAATGAAATTCCCGCACGAACGTAACGCGTTATGCAATCCGCGCGATCATATCCCCGCGAGCTTTGCAGTTCGCCGCGATGCACTCGCCTCTCCCATCGCACTCGCTGTCCGTCGCGATTTCGTCGCGTGCGCGCGATCTACACCCGCAATTAACAGGTGTCGCGTTAATATCCTGTGTGATGAATATTCGATGGTCACGTGGAGATGAGGACGCATGGCGTCGAGGGCGCATGTGACCGCGCTAACTGAATAGCGCGCGTCGCGCGCTCAGGACAGAGCCTCGTCTCTCGGCAAGAGATGAGAAGTGAAAGGCGTAAAAAAAGAGGAAAGAAATACGTGAGCCTCGGTCAGAGCGTGGTAGCAAAGAACAAGACTATAATCGCACGGTCTGTGCTTTGCAGCCGGTCGCTTATCGCGGTGCGGAAATCTCGCGAGGAACCGGAGGAACGATAAATAAGACGTATGAAAGAGAGAGAGAGAGAAAGAGAGAGAGAGCGGGCTCGAATTAACTCCCTCCTTCTCGCTCTCATCGATTTGGACGTATCGTATATATCACTAGGAGACTGTTTTATCTAACCTAAATTATTTGACGAATCTAATCTAAGTGTATTTAACGCGAGCAACGAATATAACGTCGGACGGGAATCAAGAAACCGGCGAACTCGACACTAGAAATTTATCCCATGATCCTGATCAGGCTAATCTCAATCAGTTATTTAGTTTGTACAAGCTGGTGTTATTGGCTCCCGGTAGGTCATGTAACGCAGCGTGACAGTCAGGATGTTATCAGTCTCCGCAGTGGTGATACAAAATGACTGCGCGATTTCCCGCAGAGCGAGTTTCTTTTTAACAAGCATATATTTCGATTTCTGTTTATTGCTATTCCTCTTTGAGCAGAATTTTAAGAAACAGAATACAAAGTATATCTAGTTTGTGTCTGCTATGAGTGAAAAGAAACATCATTGTCGGACTTCAATCAGTTTATTATTTGATAAGGTTTTATGGACCGTAATAGTGAAAGACGACAACAACCAAAAGCAATAGTTTAACCCTTTCGTGCCTCCGGCTTTCCCAGAAGAGATTCTATATGGAGACGGTTCTATAGGTTTTTGGGGGCGCTGATTTCAAATCAACTATCAAAATTGAAATTCAAAATGGCGGGTTCAAGATAGTGGTTATGAAATGCTGAAATATCGATATATTCAAAATAAAAGTTTGAATTATGTTTTTTTTCTGAATATTAATTATAATTCGAATGTAAAAATTTCGAGTCAAGATAATATATTTCGGATAACTATTACAAGGAACTTCTGAGTACATTGTTGCCAGTATGCAAATATATCCGCTAGAGTTGCGAGAAAACGACCTCCATAGTATACAATAGCACGGGTGAAAACACAAGTTCTTTCTAATTGATAAAGCTGTCATGTACTGCTGTCAGACTTTAAGTATATAATTAGCATTAATTCCATGAATTTTCGACATAATAAAAAGTTATTCTTTACTACCCAAAAGTTGGATTTTTAGCAAAGTTTAAATAACTACATTTATTGAACACATAATATTTTAAAGTGTGCGATGGTTTGTACATGTAGCTTGAACCTTCATCTTTAAAACAAGTTGAAGTAGAAGTCGATAGGACTATTTGTTTAAAAGTTATAATGATTTTTGTAAGTAGGACATATATGTCCCAGAGGCACGAAAGGGTTAAGTGAATCGAAAGGAATTTATCTTACCACGAAACGGACAAATCACTTGAGGGGTTAATAACTAAAGATTAATAATTATTAACCTTATTAACCTTAACAATTAAGGGAACCTTAATAAGGACCTTATTAACAGTTAAGGGAATAATTACTATTTTATCACCTTATACAAACTGAATAATTGATTGGGACAAGCCTGATGGTGAGACAAAGTTCCAGGCGGGACGTGCTCTCGCGCCTCGCTCGAATTCGATTAACGTTGACGCGCCTTGCTCTCCACCTCGGGATTCCATTTTCCTCGCCGACGTAATTCATTATTATATCGGGGATTCGTGTAACGTGTGCCGTGGGTGTCGGCGGCGTACGGTTGGACGTACAACCGATTGTGCGCCGAGTGGGCCGGGCGCAGGTTAAACGGATGTTACGTGCGCGAGATGTTTACGCGTTAACCTGCTCTACCTGCCTGCGACGCGACATGTTCGCGCGGAGTGTAGGTCGATCTGTAGGATCCTCTCCGAGGAAGCGACGAACGCTCGGCTGCGCGACTCGAATCGTCAGAGAGCCCGGCGACGGCGTGGGTTGCATAATGCGCGATGTTCCTCTTCGATTTATTAAACGCCGAGACTCGCGGATGTCGAACACGTCGCGGATATGACTCCGAACGCGCCGTACGTGGAACGTCGCGCGTCGAAAATATGATCCGGCAAATAATTGAGCGAGGCCCAGTTCCATAACTCATCTCAGCCGCAGCTTAACATCCCGAGTCGAAATTTTGATGCTACTTTGACGCTCTTAAAGATAGTTTGCATCTACTTAGACGGTTTATAGTCTAAGTAAAACCTACTTTGGCGATATTGATACTCATTAACTTCTCTTTTGAACCTTTGAACACTACCTTGTCCAAATTTTGACGCTCTTAAAAATAGTTTGAGCCTACTTAGACAATCTACAGCCTAGGTAAAACCTACTTTGACGATATTGACACTCATTTTCGAGTCGAAATTTTGACCGTATGTTAAACCTTGAATTCTACACCAGTAGGAGCAGCAGTAGGAGCTAAAATAGCAAAATAGGTTTAATTCTAATGATATGATTTACTCCTACTTTGATCCTGATGAAATATATGCAACAAATAAAATGTATATTTTGTATTTGACGTTTTTGTTTCGTTATTTATTAAATTTTTTAAATATTTCTATAAAATACATATATTCTATGTAGCAGCTAAAGCTTCAATAGAGGTTTGCAACCGAACCTACCTTGCTTCCTAAGAATCTACTATTATACAACCTACTTTGACGCTAAAGAAAGCGAAAGCGGAAATTTCAGACATCATCAGGGTCAAAGTAGGAGTAAATTATATCATTAGAATTAAACCTACTTTGCTATCTTAGCTCCTACTGTGCTGTAGAATTCAAGGTTCAACGTAGGGTCAAAATTTCGACTCGGGACGCCTATCCGGACATAGCCGCATTATTTATATACGGCAAGGAAATTGACTAATGTAAAATGTGTTTAATGTAAAAGGCGTTCTCTTAAATTATACACTGAGAAGAATATTGGAAAGTTTCTTGGTGAGATACAAAGTTTGTGTCTATGAAGTAACATCTATTTTTGTGAAGTAAGCTATATTTTTGCAAAATAAACTTTATATTTCGTAAATAAATTTTCAAGTATCTTTCTCTCAGTGTACGGGTCGTCATTGATTAATTTATTCGCAAATAAGTAATGCGACTATACATGTTTGGATAGATCTTGTCCTCAAAGTTAAAGTCCGGTTAAAGTGAGTTGCGGAAAATTGAGTCTAAATGCTAGGTTAATTGTACGGACGAATATAAATGGGATCAATGGATGAACGAGACAAACTTTCTCTTTTCGTAACCCTTTCATTACCACGTTGGGAAGCTCGATAGAATTCGCAGATTTGAGAGAAGCGGAGAGGAAGGAATTGCGATGTTAACAATCATAATGAGAATGCCACGTTGATTAAAATTGAAATTGAAATTCGGCAAAAATTCAGCAGAGTTTTGGCAGAAATTTGAAAGAAAATTCAATAACGATAAACTTTCGAGCGCGGGTGGGGAGAAGGCGATCTCCCGCGACCGGAACGATAGTTTGCGAGTTGACGAGCAAGGTGTACATCCACGACGAGAATCGTCGCGCGTAACGACGCGCTATTTGCGTTCACCGTTGATTCTCGAGATGTTTAATCAGAATCTCGTTGGCATCGCACTTCTAACACGTATTTCTCCGATCGATTCGTGTTTGCGCGAGCGTCACTGTCAGTGTCAGTGGCACGACGAGCGGCCTGCGGCCAAGA